AGCGGCCGGGGCGAGGAGGCGGGGCACGGCCCGACGGCGAGCGCAGCGGGCGGGGGCAGGGGCCCGACGCGGGCGTGGCGTGGAGGCGGGGCACGGCGCAGGCGGGGCGAGCGCCGGCCGGCATACCACAGTGGGGAACGGGCGGAGTCAGAGCGCGAGCTCGCGGGCGGTTGAGACGCGCGGCCGAGACAGACAGTTTGGGGTTGGTTGGTGCGTTGGGCGTCTCCAACTATATCCGGACGTGTATGTCCGTTTTGCCACCCATTTCCACCCCAAACGAACAGATTCCGGACGAAACGGACATCCGTTTAGGGTCATGCGGTGGAGTTGGCCTTAGCCATTGTTTAGTGATTTTATTAATCTGATGACGATGAAAGATGCTGTCAGAAAGTTTTCTTAAAACCCCGGTATTACGCGATTGCATCAGCCCGTGCAACAAGGAATCGGGATATAATCTGCGACCAGGCGTTAATTAAAGGGGAAATTTGAAGGACGTGATGCTTGTGGTTATTAAATCCTGAATGTCATCAGAATCTACGATATGGATGCTGCTTGGTACCTTTGTTCCGTTATTATCAATGACAGTGGAATCTACCTTAATGGCAACAACAAGCTTCCCTCATTGGCGGCGCCGAGCTCTCCTCTTTAGGTCGCAACGCAATGTCAGTGTGTGGCTAGGGTGACCGTGGAGGTAGCGAGGTGTTGTAGCAAGACTGCGAATACGTGTGTAGGCATGTACAAGGTTGTGGGCTCTTGTGATCAAAGGTTGTAGCACCACTAACTCGTTATATTGGCCTAATCACCATAATAACTCCCAATATAGCGGTAAACACACAGATTGACACTTTAACAGAGTGGTCATATGCATTATGATTGCCAAAAATTAGGGGGCGTACTCAAAAAATGACCTTGTAGCCTCCAAACATGGAGGTTGTGAAGACTTCGCTTGAAGCTCGCTCAAAACCCAATAGCTAGCACGGGAGGGAACTTTCATCTTCTTCCTCCTCGTGCCACGGTCGGTTTTTGAAGTAGCATGTGTCCCGTACACGCACCACTGCACACGGATAATCACAGGCAAGGGGAGGGGGACTGCTAACCACTCTCCATATTAATGTTGGGTCTGCCCCCACGAGTATTCCCGTGGCAGTCCATCGGATGGATGCCACGCGACATCATCTCCTTGTTGTCTCAGACGGTGAGGCGTCCCCATCACCAAAGCCATAGTCATCGTCTCCTCCCCTAGCCAACTCCCTGATATAATGATGTCGTGCCGACGTAGACCAATGGTTGAACGGGCTGGTGGACAAGAATCTCTCGCCCCATATGCTGCACACCTACGTGGTGAACTCCCCATGTGGCGCACTAGTCACGGCATCCGTCGCATCCTCCCCCGTGACATTGTGTGGCGCTGGTGGCTCCCGTGGTGGAGGGTGCGGGGGATCTAGAGCTTCCCGTGGTGCTGGTGTGACGCCTCCGATTCAATCATACACTAATCATACACGCAAATGTGTACGATCAAGATCAGAGACTCACGGGAAGATATCACAACACAACTCTACAAAAAAAATAAGTCATACAAGCATCATATTACAAGCTAGGGGCCTCGAGGGCTCGAATACAAGAACTCGATCATAGTCGAGTCAGCGGAATCAACAATATCTTAGTACAGACATAAGTTAAACAAGTTGCCATAAGATGGCCAACACAAACTAGGATACAGATCGGAAGAGGCGCAGGCCTCCTGCCTGGGATCCTCCTAAACTACTCCTGGTCGTCGTCAGCGGCCTGCACGCAGTAGTAGGCACCTCCAGTGTAGTAGGAGTCGTTGTTGACGGTGGCGTTTGGCTCCTGGGCTCCAACATCTGGTCGCAACAACCAGGTATAGAAAGGGGGGAAAGGGAGGAGCAAAGCAACCGTGAGTAGTCATCCAAATTACTCGCAAGCAAGGAACTACACTATATATGCATTGGTATCAATGAAAGGGGGTAGTATATGTGGACTGAACTGCAGAATGCCAAAATAAGAGGGGGATAACTAGTGCTATCGAAGACTACGCTTCTGGCAGCCTCCATCTTGAAGCAGTAGAAGAGAATAGATGGTAAGTTCACCAAGTATCATCGTATAGCATAATACTACCCGGTGGTCCTCCCCTCGTCGCCCTGTGAGAGAGCGATCATCGGGTTGTATCTGGTACTTGGAAGGGTGTATTTTATTAAGTATCCGGTTCTAGTTGTCATAAGGTCAAGGTACAACTCTGGGTCGTCCTTTTACCGAGGGACACGTCTATTCGAATAGATAAACTTCCCTGCATGGGTGCACTACATTTCCCAACAAGCTCGATCCCCCTTTGGCCAGACACACTTTCCTGGGTCATGCCCGGCCTCGGAAGATCAACATGTCGCAGCCCCAACTAGGCACAACAGAGAGGTCAGCACGCCGGTCTAAATCCCATGGCGTAGGGGTCTGGGCCCATCGCCCATTGCACACCTGCACGTTGCGTATGCGGCCGGAAGCAGACCTAGCCCCCTTAATATAAGCGCAGGCTTATGGTCCAATCCGGCGCGCGCCGCTCAGTCGGTGACGTCACGAAGGCTTCGGCTGATACCATGACGTCGAGTTCCCATAACTGTTCCCGCGTAGTTGGTTAGTACGTATAGGCCAGTGGCCAGACTCAGATCAAATACCAAGATCTCGTTAAGCGTGTTATTTTGAAGTAACCGCGGACGTCGATCAGGGACCAGGCCCACCTGTCTCCTAGGTGGTCACAACCTGCCCTGTCGCTCCGCCACAAAGTAACCATCAGGGGGCTGTCGGGAACCCGGGCCCATCACTACCTGGATGGAACCACATGCCCCTTCAGCCCCCATCTCCGAACAGTAACATAAGTATGTAAAAGGATGTTGTATATGTACACGTGATCACCTCCCGAAGCGATCACGGCCCAATAGTATAGCATGGCAGACGGACAAGAGTGTAAGGCCACTGATGATAAACTAGCATCATATACTAAACATTTAGGATTGCAGGTAAAGGTAACAACAAAAGTAATAAGGACATGCTATGCAGCAGAATAGGTCCATCCGAAAGCAGTAACAACTACACTACTCTAATGCAAGCAGTAGAGGGAAAGAGTAGGCGATATCGGGATGAACAAGGGGGGTTGGCTTTCCTGGTTGCTCTGGCAAGGAGGGGTCGTCAACAACGTAGTCGATTGGGGCACCAGCAGCGGCGTCAGTCTCGTACTCTACCGGAGAAAAGAGGGGAAAGAAACAATGAATACAATGAAAATAGATGCATATCGATGCATGACATGACAAGTAACGGTGCTAGGTGTGCCCTAACGCAGTAGGAGGTGATACCGGTGAAGGGGGAAAACATCCGGGAAAGTATCCCCGGTGTTTCGCGTTTTCAGACAGATGAACCGGAGGGGGAAAGTTGTGTGTTCGCTATGCTAGGGATGTGTGGCGGACGAACGGGCTGTGTATCCGGATTAGTCTCGTCGTTCTGAGCAACTTTCATGTAGAAAACATTTTCATCCGGGTTACGGATTAATTTATATGATTTTCTAAAGCTTTAAAGTTTTTCTGAAATTCCTGGATTTATTATTAATTCGAAATTAAAAACAGAATTTGCTAAGCATACCCGAAAGTAAACCCACCGAGAGGCTGACTGGTGGGTCCAGAGGGCCCAGTTGACCAAGTCAACAGCCCAGTCAACAGTCAACTGGTTTGACTA